TGTCAAACCAGACAAAACACCCCCTAGACCCATCTCGAGTGGTTTGGAAGGGCTGTTTTGCCTACGTGGAGGCCAGGACGAGCCCACCAACCGGCCACGTCGATAGGGGTGGGTTTGGGTGCGGTTTAGATGACCCCGCCGAGCTGGTTCGACCCAGCCGCCCTCTCTGAATTTGCACACCAAATTTAGAAGTATATTGACAGCAAAATTTTATATATTCACATGATCTTCACAGGAAGTATAGCATTCATAGAAACTTTGCCAGAAAATTGCTATGTTCATAGGAAATTCACAGGAACTATAATATTGAGAAGCTTCAGTTCTCATAATAAGCAATAGCAAAAGGAAACCATACTTTCCAGAAACTGATAGCAAATTCCATAACATCAAATTTACCCTGACAACTTCTTAAGGTCTTTGACATAGAAAAGAAAACATCCACAAAATACTACAGACATTGGCATGCTACTTTGTGCAAGTAACTTGATGTTGCACATCAACAAAAGCACACACTTCAACATGATGTTACACATCAAGTACATGACACTTTCTCCACTGATAAGCAAACTGGACATTCACCTTTCTCCAGTTAGGAGCCATTGCAGCCTGTCAGTAGTTGGCACTTGCATGTGAATTGAGCTTGAATTTCCTGGAGCGGGCTGTGAGCTTGAACCTACTCTGTTCTGACTCCTCATCCTGCTTCTTCTGTCTACAGTATGTTGAGAAGCTTGTTGTGAAGATGATCTTGCTGGAGGTGCTTGTTGTGAAGATGATCTTGCTGGAGGTGCTTGCTTCTTTGCCCTCTTCGCTGGATTAGGCGGTGCTCTAGAAGATGATGATACTGCATTGTTTGTCCTCTTTGGTGGTTGTGGCACCTGACAAAAATAATGAAATAATGATCAGTGCTAGTTGCAACATATATGACTGTTAAGGTTCAAAGAAAAGTAATTACCTGAGTGTTGATTTCTGATTCCTTTTGCTTCTTCTTTCTTGCTCTTTGTGCTGCTCTTTTGTAGTTATCTTTCTGCTTCTTATCTCTATTTGGATTTCCCAAACACTTTCTTTTGTTGTGATCAAAGCTCCCACAAACAGAACATGAAATTCTTATGCCTTTTTTTGAAAGCTTGTTCCCCTGAGGTTTCTCACCCTCTTCTCTTCTTCTTTTAGTCTTTTTTCTTCCTGGCATCACTCTATGAGGAGGAGGATGAGGTTTTGGCATGTCAGCAACTGGCCAATTCTCTTTTCCCTCCACTGGTTGCAGCACATGGTCATAAATCTTGTTGTACTCAGAGATAGAGTAGCATGGAGCAATATAATCATCTAGTTTTTTACCACATGTGTAAATTGCACTGATAGCATGAGGACAGGGCAAACCAGCCAGTTCCCAATATCTGCAAGAACATTTCCATGCCTCCAAGTTAACTGTGTACCTCCGATGCACACCTTCTTGAACTTCAAATCCTTCCTTCCCATTCCAAAGAACCTGACATAGTCCTGACCTCTTGATGTTCAACTTCAATTTTTTGAAAACATTAGGGCAAATGGTTCCAGGCCAACTGTTAGATTTGTCTCTATTTTCCTGGATCCTTACCATGACCTTTTTCCTAATAATCTCATTTGTTGTAATAACAGGAAAGAACCTTGCCTTCATTATAGCATTATTGAATGATTCACACAGATTATTCTCTACCGAGTCACACCAAGAACCAAGCTTGAAGTAGGCCCTGCTCCAATGCTCCGGTGCAGTTTTCAGGATGTCTTTAGCTCCTTCCACACTTTTTTGGGCTAGTTTGGCTCTATTGTAATTAAATTGAGTAACATCAGATGATTTGGCACATGCCCAGAACATCTTTTGCAGTTTTTTATCTCTGTGCACCTTTCTCCAGTTAGCATAAATATGCCTAGCACACATCCTATGCTCTGCTTCAGGCACAATTTCATTGACAGCCCTGATAAGACCCTGCCAAATGATATAAACATGTTTATTTGAGTAGATGTGACTACATAAAAATGGCTAGGTTCACCACCTATCTCCTCGACAATTTTATAACATGTGACTAGGTCCACCACCTACCTCCTCGACAATTTTATAACATGTGACTACATCAAAAAGAACAACATGAAGAATAAACGTTTGCTTGTAATACCTTCTGTTGGTCAGATATGAAGACCCATCCATCTCCATTGTTGCTTATCTGAAGATCCTTCTGAAGAAATGATAGGAACCAGTACCATGAGTCATATGATTCAACCTCAACTGTAGCCCAAGCAATGGGGTACATCTGATTGTTGGAATCTCTACCAATAGCACATAGTATTTGGCCTGAGACTGACCCCTTCAGAAAGCACCCATCTAGACCCACAACTCTTCTACACCCAGCTAGGAAACCCTTTTTGCAGGCATCAAGACAAATATACATTCTTTGGAAAACTGGCTTGTCAAAAATTTCAGGATCTAGAGTCACCGCCACTGTGCTCCCAGGATTGCTTCTCACTAGTTCTAAGTGGTAGTCATAGACTCTAGAATACTCACCATTAGTCAAATCAGTGAGCTTTTCCATGACTAACTTTTTTGCTCTCTTGCACTGGGACAAGCTAACATCGGCTAGAAGATCCTCAAGTACTGCCTCCTGCATATGCTCTACATGCCAAGTAGGATTATGCCTGATCTGTCTGAAATACTTTTTGGCAATGACCGTGCTTGTGACAAGCTTGTTGTCCCTCCTAGGAATACATGTGTGCTCATTTTTATACCTCACAACTAACAACCAATCAGATCTGCTACTAATGGATCCATAGATGCTCCAAGGACAACCAGGCCAGGAACATTCTGCACTGACCCTTTTCTTTTCATCTTTTGGAAATCTTAAATGGTGGAAATTTGCTAGCCCATACTTAACCAGTGCCTGTTTGAATTCCCTGCTATCACGAAATGCCATGCCTAGAGCAAATTCTGGTTTGTCAGTACTGTCATCATAAACTCTGTGTGTTGTTTTCCTCCTTCTAACTTCACTTATCTCTCCATCACTACCTTCATCATATGACAAGTCGTCATCACTTTCAAAATATGGTGTGTCTTCTCCATCTGAATCATCTAGGTTAAATGTTTCTGGGACAATATACTCTTCAGGCACATTGCATGGTTTGCCCTCCTCTTCTCTCAGCATGTTCTTTCTCACTTTGTCCTTCAATTCTTTAGCATATTTTCTCAACTCTAGCACTTCATCATCAGATGCTGAGCTATTGCTCTCTGCCGGGGGAATAGCATAGTCACTGTCAGATGAGCCATCACTTTCAGTATGTACTTCTTCATCCTCATCTAAATGTGATTTCCCTTTGTCCTGCATATGGCTGCTACCTCTCTTCATTGGCAATTTAGCACTGCTACTGCTAGGCTGGTAATACAAATTGGAGTATTGCCAAGCTTCTGGTTCTAATATATGTTCATCTGCATTTGGATTATTTTGCTGCTCTTGTACATGTTGCTGCTGGTCCTCTCCATGAAGTTCTTGTTCCTCCTCTAAGTGATGTTGATGTTCCTCTGCATAATCATCCTGTGAAAAGTCATCAGGTATGTTGGAATATATGTCCATAACACCTGCATCAGTGGCATGTTTTGCCATCTCTAACACTGATTTTTGATCATGTAACATCACCAGAGCACTACTCATTGCACCATCTCTTATTAGACCAGGAAATTTCCAATGCAGTGTACTGTTGTTTAGTGCTTTATCTGAACATCTAACATGGTCTGCAAGATTGTTTTTCAGTTCTTCGAGGCTCAATTTTGACAGATGAACCATGGACATGCCATGTGTACCACCCAAATACTGCCACTCTGTACCATCATGGTGAAATTCCCCTCCGAAATGAAACCTGATTGAAAGATAATCCAAAGGATCCATGCCTCAAATCTGCTCAAGAAAATGAAAAAAATTCTGAATAAATAAACATGCTTTCAGTTCAGTCATAACTAAATCAACCCTAAATACTCTACGAGGGAAATCAGAGCAGCATAATGGTCATACAAAAACTACAGAATCAAGCACTACATACATGGCAACAAGAAAAAGAAAAAACCCTAGATGATGTCGAAATCCCCCAAAATCACATCAACTCCAACCCAAAACAGAGAAGAAAGGAGGGATTTCAGGCGGTACATACGAGTCTCCATATCGATGTGACTAACCTGCTGTCGCGCCGGAGAACGATGCTCAGTTCATGCCGTTGATGGCTCGCCGCCAGACCTCGTCGCCGCCGTCGGAAGGAGATTGGAAAGGCGAACAGAGGAAGGGAGGCGAACGGGCAGGGAAGAGAGGGCGGCTGGGTCGAACCAGCTCGGCGGGGTCATCTAAACCGCACCCAAACCCACCCCTATCGACGTGGCCGGTTGGTGGGCTCGTCCTGGCCTCCACATAGGCAAAACAGCCCTTCCAAACCACTCGAGATGGGTCTAGGCGGTGTTTTGTCTGGTTTGACATAGTTCAGGGGATTAAGTCTCTGGTTTTAGACGTGGGGGGGTTATCGGTCCCTTAACTGATAGTTCTAGGGGGTATCTATACTTTTTTCGGCAAGTAGTTAATCACACACGGCAACTACGGTTTGATTACACGCGGCAACTACCATAGAGTTGTCATGGTTAGACATGGCAACTATAGTTAACCAAAACAGATAGAGTTGCCATGCTTTTACAACTATACTTACCATCCCGGCTAACTACTATAAATAGTCATCCGGTGGGGTACCTAACGTAGCTACGTCAGAACGTGTGGGCATTTTTGCTTCATGCCACATGCACGAGGTGAAGTTGAGTAGTACTTGTTGGGCGTGTGGCACGAAGTAGCCGCGCCCACACGTGTGGGCAATTCCAATGTCCGCCCACACACAGCGCTTGTGAGCTGCCTCCTATTCACACCACACACGGTGTGTGGGCACATGTCGTATATGCCCCACGTATGGCAGTTAGTGGCGTCCATTATTTAACATGCCCCTACTTTCTTTTAGAACTAATTAAGATACCTCTACCCTCATGACATGAGGAACATTGTTTCTATTTAAGCATCGAACATATCAGGAAACATTCCGAGTTCTGATGAAGATACAGTTTAATACCAACCAATTCATAAAATACTGCACTAGTCCTAAAGTTGATGAGCTTAGATGCACTTCTGAAGAAACTGTATTAGTTTCTCTATCGGAGCACTTTTCCTCACAAGGAAGAAAGCAGACATGCATCTAAATGGCACTCCTATCAGATGGGCATTAAAATGCCGAGCGCCCTTTAGGGTCCGACGACGGATTAGTGGAGTGGCTTGACCTTTTCCTCCTGAGGGTATTCCAGGTGAAGCTACCACCCTGCTGCAAACCACCGGCGGTGACTTCATCTTCGTCATTGTCGTCTTCGTTCTCATCCTTGCTGTAGGAAGAAACTCCAGCTCTTCCTTTCTCTGGTGTCCAGGTTGAGTTGCCTGCGCCATCGGCGCTGTCAGAATATTTGAGCCTTTTTGCCCTATCATGTAAATCAACCTCCTGTATATCGGATAAATAAGCACTCCGTTTTGCTCTTGGAGTCATCTTTGGGATGTCTTCGTATACCTCGTCAGATTTCATCCATTGATCAACATAAGAGTCCGAATAGACAACCTCCTTTCTTCGCCTCTTTGTGTTTATCACAGGATTTTTGGCTTCTTCCGCAAGGAGCTTCTCAGCTAAGGTTTCACTGATATCAAAAACCCATTCTGGAACCTCAGGTCCCTGCATCAGCCTGGATTTATAGTTTTCTCGTCGTCGCCTCTCTTCATCCATCTTCTCAAATAACCAGAACTCTTCCTCAGTTCGAGCAGCCAAACGATTTATTTCACGCTCACTAGGGATGTCAGTTCCAAGTGTACTAGTTCCTCTCTTCAAGATCTCCTGTAGCAACGCTTTCCTATCCTGAGCTGCACGAGAGATCAATACAATATTTTTGTGAGTTCCACATTTGAATACATCATGGAGAAAAGAGATACAGGAACAGGACAGCCAGCAATGGCATACAAACCTGTGGAGGTGTTGTTGAACAACCCAGCCTGGATAACTTTTGCATCAATACCCATCTTCTGTTTTGCACGATCCAAGATCTCTTCTTCAATTGATCCAACACTAACAAGAACAAATACACGCACTTCATTTTTCTGTCCTATACGATGAGCACGGTCTTCAGCTTGCTGATCCATCTGAGGATTCCAATCACTATCAAAAATAATAACTGTATCTGCAGTCTGCAAGTTCAATCCAAGGCCTCCAGCTCGTGTGCTGAGAAGAAAAATGAAGTACTCTGAGTCCTTCTTATTAAAATCTGCCAATAATTTCCCTCGTTCTTCAGTTTTCGTTGATCCATCAAGCCTCATATACTTGAAATTGTACATCTGCAAATATACTTCCAAAATATTAAGCAATCTTGTCATCTGAGAAAAAAGCAGAACCCTGTGACCAGCCCTATGCAGTTTTGGAAGTAGCCGATCGAGCAATTCAAACTTCCCTGATGCTCTAACAATCTCCTCGCGCTGATACATGTTATATTGCTCTACAAATAAGTAAGGATGATTGCAGCACTTCCTAAGCTGCATCGATAGGTTTGCCACAGCCTTTGGTTTGAGTCCTGCACGTGCACATAGTTGACAATAAAGAAGTGCTTCTATTCAAGAAAGATACAAGGACAATTTAAATGCAAATATGCAATACAGGCAGGAATCCCTTGCTCCACTTAAGAATATATCATCGGTTGGTTTATTATTATTTTCAAGATGCAGTACAGGCACAAGGACAATACTATGCATTATATATGCCATCAATACAAAAGAAGACCAAGTTTGCATTGACACTATAGCATGAGTTTGAAATTTTATGCACAGCTTTCTCCAAGGATCGATCAAACATTACAAATTTATTCAGTCAGAAGTACTTCCTCGAGGGAAGAAAGAATTGGAAGTAAAACGTACCAGATCCTAGGGCAACCTTTCCCTTGCTTGCGACTTGCTCGTAGTATGCTTTTTGCCAAGCTGAAAAGTCACACTTCAGTATTACTTGTGTTTTTGAAGGGAGATACTTTTCCACTTCATCTTTTTTCCTACGGAGCAAAAATGGACGCAAAACCTGGGCAAATACCAAGAGCAAATGAATAAATATAAAAATCCCAAATATCGGAAGTAATCTTCATTTCATGTGTCACACGTGCTTACACACCGGTTGGTTCCATTGAACCGAAAAGGTGTGAATGCCAGAGAAGTGGAGGTACAAATATCATTATATCAACATGTAAGCTTGTTAAAATCACTGAGTGACTGAGGGTGGATTGGGGCAAGCATTACTCACTTGATGCAAACGATGTATGATCAATAGTTCTTCCTCATCATTAATGCTAACATCACATGCAAACGGTGCATTAAACCATTCCTCAAAATTCCCAGATGAATTAAAAATATTTGGCAGAATAAAGTTGAGCAATGACCACAGCTCCTGTAGGCTATTTTGGATTGGAGTGCCAGTCAAAAGTAGTCTGCGGCGGATCAAATATCTACAAGAAAGTATCAGCAATCTATAAGTCAGATTCACAAAAGGTCGAGACAAAATTTAACACTTCAGCCAATAAGGATGAGCAAAAAGGTTAAATCACAGAAAAGATGAAGGAAAATGAGGCTTCAACAGAAAATTGGAAAGTGGGAGTAAGCAAGTAGCCATGAAGCAAAGAGATACTGAAATGTAATGGAAATTATTCATCTTGATAAGAATATTCTCAAGAAAAAAACATTTTTCATACCGAAAGATAAATATTTACTGGCCTACCTGGAGTTCACAACGATTTACACCGAACTTAATGGTTAACTTCTAAGCTTTAAATAAACAATATGGTGACTAATTTATCAATTATCGGTTGGGACCATACTGTTGATACAGATAATGAGAGCTGTTAAGGAAGCCATCAGATTTTCTTGTACAGTTGGATGCACTCCCATTCAATGTTATTTTCAGCCTTTAACTCACGTTGCTTAAAATAGAAGGATAAATGCGTGTACCTTAAGTTTAAAAATCGGGTGTGTTTGGTTTGAGCCCAAGCTGCCCTAGCAAAATTTGGCTAAGCAATATTGGTCAAGGAAGTTGCACATGCTTTGAACAATGTTGGCAAGAAAAATGAACTAGAATTAGCTAGGGGGGATAGGCATGCCAAAATATTGGTTATAGCCAAAATATTGGTCCGGTTAGTTTTGGTGATTATCCAAACATACCCTTATACCCAAAGGAAATATGCCTGGTTTTTATGCGAACACGGAGAGAAGACATAATGCTTGTGTACAAAGTAACCTTTTATATTCTGTAAAGAACACGGTCACAATTTCCTTAATTGTACTGTTAGCTACTCACGTAAGACTAATAAAACACATGTTTCGGTTGTGTGCACAGGTCTAACCTGCTAAATAGACTGTCTGAAGACCACAAACTCCAGTACGTAAGTTCCACGAACTATGATATGAACTTATCTCTAAAATATGTACATTTCAAAAAGGCATGCCTATTAACTTCTGTTCTATACACATGATTATACTTTTACACAAATTTGTGCACGCGTACAACATGATTTTGTGAGAAACCTCTGAATAAGTTCAGGTCGTGTCCTAGTCATACTAAGTTTTAACTTCGCTCTTTCTTGCTGATGAAGGGAGAGATCCGTACTTATTTTAACAAACCATTTATTGTTTGAAGAGTGTAATAACTGACAGGATAAGGTGCTTTTGAGGCTCAATTTGCCAATGCCACCTTATCGGAAGAGGAATGGAAGCTTCATACTGGTCAGCAGCACCAGCCTTGGTTTCTGAGACCTAATACTACAAACAAAGCTGAAAGGTTGGAGTTTTTCAACGGCTGTGAC